ACTCAGTTCGTGTCTCACCTTTTCAAAAGAATGTGCTTTGGGCACGGTATCCGCCATGTGACCACTTCTCCTTACTATCCACAGCCTTCCCATGCTGAGAGGTTCAACAGAAATCTTCGATCCGCTCTCATAGCTTTTCATGCTGACAAGCAGACCACCTGGGATCAGGAACTTCCTTGGATCCAATTTGCTTTCAATACTGCACACCATGAGAGTCACAAGGCGGTCCCTTTCGAGCTGTTGTTGGGCTATCCACCCAACAATCCCTTGGCAAATGTGTGGAAAATTGGCGACCTTCTGCCACCCCCTGGTGCTGCCAATGTCAAGGCAACTTGGCAGGCGGCTAGGAGGAACTTGATCCGAGCTAGGGAATTGGTCCGGAGGAAGCACAATCGAGGTCGGTTGGACAATCCATTCCAGGTGGGGGATTTGGTTTTCTGCAAGGCTCATCCGGTCAGTTCGGCCGTGGACAAGAGAGCCGCTAAGTTGTCTCATCGGTGGTCAGGTCCCCACCGCATCTTGAAGTTCTTGACTCCTGTCTCTGTGCGGCTGGGAAATCCGCAGACTGGAGAAGTTTTCCGGAGGGCTCACATTTCTCATCTGAAGCCTTTCCGGGGAACAATTCCGTAGGTCATCTTTCATTACTCTTGTGTCTGAGTGGGAAGTGCACTGGGCCAGAGAGCTTGATCACCTCTTCTGTCCCTTGTGCGCTGCTGAAGATTTTTCCCTAGTAAATTTTCCAGCACTGGCCAGTGCAAACCCTGGGGGTGAGTAGTCCCTCCAGTTGAAAGACTTTTGGCGTTCCCCACTTCAGACACTTGAGTTGATCTGTGGTGTTGAGATCTTCTAGAATTGGGAGAGGTTGTTTTCTTTTTTTTTTTGGAGAGGAAGTCCTCCTTTGGGGGGGGAGGTTGAGCCGTGACATGCCCACCAAGCGTCCCACCAGTGTCACGCCTCAGTTTTTTTTTGTATAGTGCGAGTGCTGGCCTTGCGCCGGAACTCGTTCAGTTTGGGTCTGGCAGCAGTCCTGCAGACCCCGGGGCTATTTTTCCGCTGCCGAGCACATTTTCGGCAGAAGAACAGCGACTGTCATCGTTTCATGTCAAGTTTGGTGTTTGTAATGTTATATTTGCATCGGTTAACTTCTAGTCACTTTTTTACTGTGCTTCTTACAAACCTAATTCTTTTGACATGTAATTAAACGGTTTGCCAGACGTCAGATGAGTAAGTTGATTGATATTTTGATTTGTTTTAGGTTAAAATGTTTCTGAATTAGTCTTGGCCTTCAGCCACATGTTGTGCAGACTTTGAGTGGGTTTTGGCTAGTGAAAACCAAGTATTAAGCACCTTCTGTGCATTGGTATTACTTTTAATTACCAATTACTTGTTTTTCAAGGCGCTAGACCCATTTCTGAGGCTGGAATTGAACAGAGTTTTGTTGGGCCTTTGGCCAAGCTTTGTGTGGTCAGACCACAAGTTTTTCTGGTTAGTTTTGTAGTTTTCTTTGTTGTCAAGTTTTCAAAGCTTTCCCCGAGACTCTAGGCCAGATATTACCCAAGAAAACTCACTTTAAAACTCTTTTGTGCGGGCTAGGGTCCGTTTGTTCTGTGTCCCTGTTAACTTTTTATTAGGCCTAAGGCCTAGTTTGTGCTCAATTTTGTTTTGTTATTGTGGCCTACAACTTGTTTAATGTAAATTTTGTCCCTCTGTCCCCTGTAATAGTGTTTTTTTTTGTTATTTGTATTGTAGGCCATGTCACTCAGCCTAATTTTTTTTAGTTAAGTAATGGCGCCTCCTGGGGGCCAAGCTCGGTCATAATTAGTTAGTATTAGTGCTTTTACTTGTCCCCTGCAATTTTCATTAAGTTTGGATAATAAATGACCGAGTTATTTAAGTTTTAGTTTAGCGCATTTCTGTTTGCTGAGTGACCGTAGGTAACTGACCCCCTACCTAGCCTCAGGCTAGTTGGTAGGCATGGGTTTGTCTTTTAAAAGCTGCGGGCACCTGTGCCACAGCTTTTAAAAGCAATTTGTGCAAATTTGGTTGGTAATAACCGGAGTTATTACCGGTTTTACCTGAAAATGCACCTCCAGCCAAAGAATTTTTAATATTTTGTGTAAACTGTTTTTTGAAGTATTTATTGTAGTATTTATGTAATTGTTTTGTGTTTGATTAATGTGTTTTACCCTTCTGGACCAGATAATTCATATTTTTTATTGTTAATCCCAATCTTTATAAAATTTTACTGTCAGAATGTGTTGTTAAAGTTAGTAATATTTAAAAGTCTATTTATTGTTATGTTTTTAAAGCTTTATTCATCTGAAATAATTTGTTTCTAGTCATTGCTCATTGTAACTATTAAAGACAGTTTTATAAAGGAAAGCCTATTTAAAAGAAAAATATTTTTTTTCAAAGTCTCATTGTAACAGTTTTGGTCAGCAACCAGTGGTGCGGAAAAGTTTTTTGGATTCCTTTTCTTGAATAGCTGGGTAGGCCTAATTTTACACCCAAATGAAGCCTAAGATATGAACTATTACTAGTTGGACCTGGAATTTGTTAAAAGGGTCCCGGATGGGAGGTTTCGTTTTGCTGCTGTCCTCGGAGAGTGTCGCCTGGGGGGACACTCCATCTTCCACCTCCTGGGGCTGCCAATGGCCCAGCTTCTCCGGGGATCATTAAGCTACGCACCGTCATCCACCACCACCGCCTGCCACCAGCAAGGAACATGTTGTGCCACGCAATACGCAAGTTATAGCCTACTTTGAAATTACGAACATTTTAAAAGACTTTATATTTGAAAGGGGCCCCGCAATATGATTGATTCTTCGTTATTTATTTTTATAGTATTGTTATTTATTTAATTGTTAATTTTTTCAAAGTTTAAAGTATATTTACAGTTACCATCTTTAATTATTTCATTGTTAGGCCTAATTGTTACTGGTACCAGTTTTTGTAATTCAGAAGGGTAAATTTTTTGAAAGATTTTTAAATGAATTCTTTGGATGGCTGACATTGTTGATTATTGTTATTTGTTGAATTTTTGATAAAAATATATAGGCTTTGTTCACTGTTTGTTTTGTTTCTGACATTCACCCACGGCCTTTCACTTGTTAGGGATGTGGGGCGGCCACTCGCACTGTCACTATGGGGGGCATGCTTCCAATTGTTGTTCGTCTGGGGGCGGTGCGAGGGGTCGGCTCAACTATTATCCTGATGAATTAATAAATCTAGATATAAATAATGGAAAATTTAGAATTGTATATCAAATGTATCAAGATTATAAAAAGGTTTATTATAACAATAGTGAAATGTATTATGATCCAACAGAATTCATTGAAAATAGACCATTGTATGTGATTGATACAACAAAAACTCCTGTTAATATTTCTGGTTCAAAGAATGATATTATTATAAATATGGATTTTGATTATGATATAACTGTTGCTAGTAAAACTAATTGCTATGTGGTTGTTGTGTCTGAAAGATTATTAGAGTATAATGTGATTAAAAATGATATAACTGAAATCAAATAAAATTATTATAAAACCACCATTTATTTACTACTTTTTGACATATTTTTCAAAATATTATTATATTTTATAAATAATGAGACTACTATTGTTAATTTAAAATTTGTTTCATAAAAAAATATTAATAAATAAAAATTTTTGATTTTCAAGGTCACAGGAAATGAATATTTTAAATTTTATTATTTAATAAATTTGTACTTACCTTATAGATATATCATACCAAATTTCATGTAAATATCTTAAAAAACAAAAAAGTTATTAAGGTTTTTAGTTTAAGGGTAGTTCACCCTAAATTGGAAAATTTTAGTAAAAACATTAATTTTTAACATAATTATTCATAATTTTTAAGTTTCAGAATTTTTTGATAATTTTTTCAGTAAAATAGTTTAATAAAAACATACATTAGTTCACTTTTCTTTGATTTAGTTCAGTAAAAGTGCACATTTTCCAACTAATCAGTAAAACACTTGAACAAAATATGATTCCGATAAAACCACTTTAGATAAAATAGTTCACTTTTAGAGAACATTTTCTTTAAAAGATAAAAAATAGTCCACTTTTAGTGTTAACTGTTTCTTTAAAAACATTTTGTTTTGTAGTCAATTTTATGTAAAATATAGACATATTCATGAAAATTTCATCAAAATTGTATACTTTTTCTAGAAAAATATGAAAATGTTAGAAATTGACCTAAAAGGGTAAAAAATATAGCATATTGTATAAAAAAAATAGGAAAATTCATTTAATTTTTGAGTGGCTCCTTTTTTGGCCCAGAAGTGACATGAATATATCTACTTATATATATATATATATATATATATATATATACTAGCTGACCCGGCGAACTTCGTATCGCTTAAGTTATAGGTTTCCCCTAAGACAGACCGATGGAAAGAAAGTACCGTTACGTTTAATTTTCAAGATGATCTCGTTCGCATCGCTCAATCACGTCCTGGTTGAAGTTCGTTCGCTACGCTCACTCACCTTTGGGTTGGAGCTCGTTCGCTGCGCTCACTTGCCTTCAGGTTAGCTCGTTCGCTACGCTCACTCACCTTTGGGTTGGAGCTCGTTCGCTGCGCTCACTTGCCTTCAGGTTAGCTCGTTCGCTACGCTCACTCGCCTCCAGGTTGAAGTGTCCGGATGAATTTTGTTTTTAAAATTGACCATGCTAGATTTGTAACTATTGCATATGATGAACATAAAGAATATTTATTCTCAAAGTTTTCTCCGAGTTTTTATATGATCAGTTAGACTTAGAAACTCTATCTTGAGCATGCCAAACCTTACTTTTGGGCCTAAGTTAAAGTACATTTTGCTTTAATTGACATTATATTCCTCCACCTAACCCAGCTGGTAGTAAATAAGTTCTGACAGTACGAAACGTTTTTTAACTTTTGTTATATTTTACAATAGCAGAGGTAAAAGAGGCAATGAAGATTGGGTTGGACATATACAATAAATCACAGCCAAAACAATCCATACATATTTTATTATGACCATGAATACATGACATTTATATTGTGATAATATATTGATAAAGTCATAAATTGTAACTATGGAAATCATGCCACGGTGAAATCATATGAAAGCCTCTCTAGCAGGAGTCCAGTAAGATTAACATTTGTCTGGAATGTACTTGCAAACAACGGATCTGAGATTTTTCAATGCGGCATATTCGTCTTTCATGTTGAACTTCTGAAATTGTTCATAATTATGAATTAGTTTCAACTAATGTACTAGATTAACCAATCGGGTACTTACTATTGTACAACCCTTTGATTGAACCCAAATAATCGCATGCGCGTGTGAAAATAAGCAAAATAATCGTAAGACAAAATAAATTCCCTCTAAAATAAAAAGTTACAGTATCATGAATTTGAAATAGGTGCTATTTTTTTTCTTCGCGATCGTGCAATATACAAAGCACGTCCTTTTATGTATTCTTACTCCTTTAGCTTCACTGAAACACGTGTTAGGCCTACTGTCATAATCATGCTACCGTAGAAAAAACATTTTTTTTTAAAGAGGTTGGCGGCCTCTTTTAACCTTGCATTTGCCCGCCCACATAGACTAACCGCCCGTGCGTGGAACGTTTACAGCAAAAAGCAAGGAGTGAGCCGGTACAGTACAAAGGTGAACTGTACTGATAAATTTTCCCCATACCCCAAAATACATACATACCCAATACACATACCCCATCATTAGACATACCCCATGAGTTGGTTGTCAATGATGCTACTTTAATTATTTTTGTGTTTTGAATGTTCTTTACATGCGCCCCTCACTATGCCAAATATTTTTGTTTATTCTGAGCAGTTTTAAAATACATTTTTTACATTAAGCATACGTGTTTGCTTTTATTGTTTCAATCCTTAAAAAGGTAACTGGTATTTGTTTAAATATTTAAGATTTAAATAACGAATATACATTTTGAACAAACATTTTTTTAAATAAAGCAAAATATATAACCTTTAACGAGTAAATATTTTGGTAGAATTTAATCCAACTCACGTCGTTGATGATGACACAAGGCGTGCCGGGAAAGTCTGGTCTGGCACGCCAAGGCATGGTACGGCGAGCGTAGTTGAGTTTCAGCTGATATCCTAGAGACCCTTTGGCACATTGGTTAATGGAAACTGACTGAAGTCTGGATTGAGATGCACACTAAGAGAGAACAAAAGTGGATTACCAATCAGAGTGACTATATACGGTAAATCACTCCCCATCTGTCAACAAACTGTATGTATACACTAATGTACCATGATGTTGTCATTTTTATCATAATTATGTTTGTGTTATAAAATAGTTGATAATATGTTTTGCATTTGTGACCTACCTGTGACCAGGTGACTGTGACGTTTGGCTACAAAACATCACGCCACTATTCCCTACATGCATCAACCACCGATCCAAAAGTTTCCTTGCTCTCCAGATCTCAACATTCCAGCAAACCGTAACCATGTCGTTGGCCGGGTTGTGTTTCACTTCTAAATGTAGTTTTTACTTTTATCTTACACCCTAAACAGATCTCTACATCCTTGGATGTTTGGCTGTAGCTGTAGCCCAGAACATTTCTACCTTCTACTTCAGGCTAGCTCCAAATGGTTGCTTCTGTAGGTGCAGGCTTCAATGTTTCAATGCAACCGCCTTATACAGTATACTAGCTTCAAGCGAGAGTAATACAAATTTAATGGTAGTAAATGTATTTACTGTATAGGTCAGCTTGTTGACTATGTGCTCCAAAGTTTGCTTCATAAGTGCACCATAAATACAACAAACTAGAAGGATTAATCTAATAAATTCTACAACCCTCTCCCATCTAGTCTGACATTATAGCACGTATTTCCTAATGTGTATATTAATTGCAGGCTTTAATTTTGCCTGAAATGAAAGGATGGTTTTGAAAAGTTACCAACTTTGAATATTGCAGTAGAGATTAAATCTAAAGGACAAGCTATTGCCAATCGTTAACTCAAAGAACACAGCATGTGCTGACATAATTCTTTAGTTTCTTTCCCTGCTTTGTTATCATGATACTTGACACTTCATAAAAGATAGTATTTACAAGAAGTTGTCATGTCATATCAGCAAAAGGTTTACGGATATGGAAATCAGTCAGCGCACGTCCAGTAGCTCGTTTCAACTTTGTTTATTTTCATTCTAAAACTGGCCATAATTTCAACGTGTTGATGGTATATACAGGGTGGTAAAAAAGTCCCAGGACAGTTAAATATTTTAAAAATAATGTAGATTGGGCTACAATACTTGGTACAAAGTTACAAGGCATAAAACTCTATTTTAACACATATTCAATGATCCAATAACTCTTCAGGGGGACAGCCCACAAGGAGTCGGTAGAAAATCTTAAATTGAAGCATAGGTCAATATGCACATCAAATTAAAGGTCTTTTTTAGTAGAATACAATGCCGCAAACCGCACTTCAAAAGGTTGATCCTGCGCAAAATGGCAGATGTTCAAAGATTTCTTGAATCCGCCATTTTGAATCTTTGAACGACTGCTATTTTTTACTCAGGCATTCTTTTGAGCTTGAATTTACGGCATCGTAATCTACTAGTGAAGACCTTTAATTTGATGTGCATATCGACCTATGCTTACGTTAACAATTTTCTTCCGATTCCTAGGGCTGTGCCCCCTGAGGAGTAAGCGTATAATATCAATGTAAATTAAATGAATCTTTGAACAACTGTAATTTTGCGCAGGATCAACCTTTTGAAGTGCGGTTTGCGGCATTGTATTCTACTAAAAAAGACCTTTAATTTGATGTGCGTATTGACCTATGCTTCCATTTAAGATTTTCTTCCGACTCCTTGTAGGCCGTCCCCCTGAAGAGTTATTGGATCACGGAATATGTGTTAAAATAGAGTTTTATGCCCTGTAACTTTTTACCAAATATTGTAGCTCTATCTGCATTATTTTTTAAAATATTTAACTGTCCAGGGACTTTTTTACCACCCTGTATATGTCACTTTAGAATGCTGACCGTAGACTGTTAGCCAATTCTTCTATCCATATTCAAAGTTACTTACCAGGTCACTAGCAGCTGCTTGGTCTGGATGTTCCATGACACATTTGATGTAGTCCACGGCCTTCTGAAGCTTGTCCTTTGGACACCCTCGAGTGCCTCGTGCACCGCAAGCCTGGTGGATGGCGCACGCGTGGAGTAGATCAGCATGACACTCGGCTGGTCCGTGCTGACAGTCAAACACTATCCTTCCTCCTCGTTTAACTTGCTAATCATCATGTGGTTATGTTAAATCTTCACGATTATAATGTACAACCTCTACGTCAATAGTTCAACAAAATGTGGAACTATTATGTTTACCATACATAGAACTCAAATAATAGTATCTTAGTAAAAGATGTATTTTTTAAATGTGATATATGTATTTGAAACAAAACTTAATTGAATTTTAAATAGTAACCTACAACAATGTTGACAAGTAGTTTGATCAATTTAACATGGTTTAAATGGACAAAACTGAATGTATAACAAGAAAAAATCAATTTCTCAATCGTCCAACTAAGCTTATAAAATATCGTTATAATCTGCATAAAGTTTCCTGAATTTTATATATCCTACAGATATTTATTAAAATGATGGTTTTCGTGGAATTTGACACGAAATAAACATACAAAGCCGCCATTTATAAACGATTCAAGAGATTTTATCCATATTTTGTACAGAGATAGTGGTCAGTAAGATACACATTTTTACGGAATTTCAACGATGTAACTAAACCAACAGGCGGTTATAAATTATTTTTGTAAAAATCACATACAGACAGATAGGTCGAAAACGGAATGAAATAGGACACACGTGTTGTTAAATTTTTTGTTTCTTTTTTGACATGCTGAATATTGACACCCTGTATATATTCATGAAGAATTCGTTTAAATGAAACAATAAAGATTTTCCGATTTTAATACAGTCAGACCTCTTTAACCGACGAGGTTGTTACCCAAGTTGTACTGTTTGTCGAAGCTATTGATTGAAAAATAATTAATTAAAACACATACCAAATTAAAATCGAAAAAAAACTTGAATCCCTAAATATTACGAAAAATATATAAACAATCCATAACTTATGATAGCTTTAATGACAAAACTTACGTTTGTATTTCCATAAGGGACTAGGTCCAGCTCCATGTGGTTTTTCAATTCCTGCCACACCTTGTATATCTGATGTACAAATAAATTGGCGCAGCCAGGACAGTAACTCTCGTAAAGTACAGTTACGTTTACGGAATCCTATGAAATATAATATAGTTATTAGTGTAATCGAAAAATGTAATGACAACATGAATTTGTGTATTTACAGGAAAATAATAAATAAATTTGTCAGTAGTCTAGTTTAAATACACAAACACAAACCAATTTTTAAGTTAATAGATTTTATCACAGTTTAACAAGCTTGATTTCCATTAATAAACTTAAATAGATGGATAGATCAATTAGTAGATGGACGCAAATCTTTTGATTTTACACGGATTCCTTGCAAATTGTTCCTAAACTGTACAAACAATTTTCTTTTTATGAATAAAGGAAAACTGTAAATTGTGGTTATGTGCTGCACATTTATTGGCTATTTGCATCCATCAGATAAAATAATATTAAATTTGCTTACATTTTTCTTTCCAGGTGTTGCCGCAATCTCGTGGTATAAGATAAAGGTAACAAACAACATTAGTATAGTTGTTGTTTTCATTCTTGGATGTTTTCTTTTGACTGGAAATGGTAAAGACAGAAAATGAAAATAGTTATAAATAAGTTATAAATAATGTGAAAACATGTTATCTTTGTTGTTATAATATGTTATATATTGTAATAATGTAACATTTAAATGTAGTAACTCGATTTTACTTTATTTAATCACAATTCTATTATGTAACTGAATCATCATATAAACAACAGATATTTTAATAATGTAACATAATAGTTAACGGCTAAGGCTAGGCGCACACGAGCGATTATTTTGAGGCGACTATTTCATCGGCCGATCTGTGCATCATGTATTTGAATGGAAGCGCGCACACAGGCGATCGAGAATTGCGCCGATTTTAAAATCTGGGTTTTGCCACAGATTCGTAGGCGAGGCGATTGTCGCCCGAAAATCTGTAACGTACAGGTTGTTATCAGTCCGCGCACACGGTCGACTAAAAAATCGGCCAGTCGCTTGTTGTTCTCTACAGAAGTCAGTGAACTTCAGTACTTCAGTGTGAGTTGTGTTGTTTTCTTTGCTAAAAAGGCCACAGCTGTTATAATAAAAACTTAAACTTTCAACAGACATTCTTAAAGAACTTTTTACCGTTATCACGGTAAAGTGTATAGTTTATAAAACTATCGATTTAAAAGTCTCTGACTTACTATCGGATGCACCCAATATTTAAGTTGTCTTCTTTTTTTCTTTTATCTAATTAGAGGAGCACAAACACAGGTTAATTCAGCAAAGTCCATTTTAGTATAGCTTAAACGCACTCAAAAAACCATTTCTCAACAAAAAAATCGCCACGTGTGCGCCTAAACATAAATCAAGGGCGATTTATTTTTGGCCGATTTTTTTATCGGCCGATCGAAAAATCGACCGTGTGCGCCAAGCCTAAGTATGTTTAACTGTTAGGTTTTAAAGTATCGACAAACCACATTAAAGCTTCATAACAACCAACACTTTATTGAAATATAACTATTGCTGTTAAAACGACAACAGTTCTTATCTATTTTATTATTGATTTAGATTGGCGATGAAAATAACAATATTAGCTCCTTAATAAATTGAGTTGTCACATAAGTAGTTTTGATGTACTCGCTTATGGAAAACATCCAATATAGAGAATTATATTAAAAATATAAATATAGATTAAATATAAATTCTAATTTACATTAGGTAATATGTAAGAGGTTGACTTTTTGATAAAAATATATAATACAGTATCTCTGTAATTTACATTTTCAAGTTAAGCAATAGCTAGTCAATCCACAATTTCATGATATCTAGTACTGTATATAATTCAAGTATTATTAATTTAGCATTATAATTTATAATAAGTAACTTGTATTTGCATTGATACAAATATGCAAGACATATTCATTTAAATAATCTAATAAATTATACTCTATTGAAAACTGCACAATCTCCTTCATACGAAGAAGGCTTAAAGTTACTAACCTCTGTGGGCGCTTGGGTTGGTTTTCACAAAAGAAATCAACTTAAATAAGCTTGAAATACAGAAACCATGGATAATCAGCTTTACTAGTTATTACTAAGACAGAACCAGAACACTAAACATACCAGTTAGACACGGCTATTTGGGCTCTTGTTCATGTGTTTCGACGATGACGTTGTTCTAGTTTATAAAATAATGGAAATACACTCCTTTCAGAATGTGCCCTTATGTTTCATGACTCATTGTCAAATAAGCTTAAGAGGATTGGGACTATCTTATATTTGAAAAAGACTTGAAAAGCGTAACAGGGACACAAACAAAACATAGTACTGCTATATAATTGTTCTTTCTTACTATGGCGTAAACGAATCTATAAAATACGACATATCGAGTAATTTGCTTTTAACAAGAGTAACAGTAATTTAATCATTGAACATTCATTGGAAATAAATGTTAGTTTATTATTTGGTAATGATAATGTAAATTTATTGTAAGGTATGGTTTCTTAAACTCAAGGTGTTTGTTTACAATTTTGTATCTATAGATTAAAAGTAAGAAAGGGCCATGCAGCCCTAACTTTGTCTGTTAAAATAAACAATTTGTCATTTCATTTAATCTTCGATACAACGTGTATGAAAAACGTTCTAATGAAGCACTTAAAATATTTTATTTTCTTATCTGTTACGTTAGGTTATAACAGGTAGATAATAATAATACCAACGGCTAGAAAAGAAATATATAAATTTTAATCACTTTGATGACAACGAATATAAAAAAGATGGTAATTACAAGACATTTTACAAGATTAATAAACGAAATGACGTGTTGACGGTCCATTGTCAGTGTAGAAATCATGAATGGGTTGAAGATGACGTCACACGGTGATGACCTCCGGTGAATGACACAACTGAGGAAGTAGCTTACAGATCTCTCCGACCAGGTCGTCCTCAGCCAACTTGTCGTGTTTCTGAATACAATGGAAATCGGAAAACATCTTTAGAAATATTTTTTTGAGATGCAAAAACTGCTAGATGTATGCACACAGCACAAAACGTATGTTTACCTTCATGACTAACGGCATAAAAAAATAATAACGTGTAAACTGTTCTGATAGCTTTAGCCATCTTGTTTTCACATTAAAAGTATGATGTGTTATTGACCCGTGGTCAGGTTTATGCAGAACATAACGATTTTTAAAATTAACGTGAACACTTAATTGAAGAAACGTTGATGTTTATAGCTTTACAATGTTTACATACAAGTATAAGGCATAACGCATATCTTGGTTTTATAAGAACCTTAATATTATGTGTTATATCATACATTAATGTTATGAGTTATCGTTTAATAAAGTAAACGACAAATATTAGGCAAGCATGTTTCTTCTAAACCTCCCTTTTCAGCTCGTGTACAGCGCAGGAAAAATCTACTCATATTGTTAGAAAGATATTTTCCTGTAGATGTGCAGAATCCCTTTATAAATTAAAATAGGCTAAACAATAAACACAACAAATGAATTTAAAATAATAAAAAAACGTTTACATGGAACTTAAGGGTTGCCATGGTGACGAAATAGCAACGAAATATAAACAGTAAATTAAAACAAATGGAAGATATTCCAATGACATGTTTTATTTACATCGTAGGGTGAAAATATAAAAGTCTGTACATTATACATTTTTGGTTGAGTTTTCGACCTATGGACGACTAATAGTTTGTTTTAATAGGTAATTGATAAGCCAAACAACTACCTCCCTAAGCTGCCTTATATAAGCTTAAACATTTTAAGAGAATAAATTTATTCTTTTCTCAGATACACGTTTAAATACAGCCGTCTTTACAAGAAAACGCTATTGGTTAGTCGAAAAAGTTTAAGGATAATCACAAAATATTTTATTATTTTTATTTCAAAATCTTTGTACGATACAGAAGAATGCGTTAGTAAACGTATGAACGATTTTCAAAATTGATCTCAGGTTTAAAATAATTATGCTTGGTAAAATTAATTAGTCAAATCTATATTCTGGTATGTATTTTTAGATCCCCAGAAATTAACTAGTCTTACATTTTCCTATACACCTTACAAATCACGTAGGTTGACAAAATTAACATTGGACTGGAAAAATAACAATAAGGTCTTATAAATAGGAAATCTTTATTGCTAACGATCCACAATAGATTTAAGGTTACTGGTATGTGTAATTTAAATTTTGAATGTCAAAGATGTAAAATAAAAAACGATCATGACACAATTATTTACTGCAAGACAGTGTTAAATTGTGCTAGGTAAATACAAACTTTTTATAACATAATTAAAGATAATGGCATAATACCTCTGCAGTACTAGGCTTCTTTAAAACCTCAGATTAGATTGATTCGCTGCGTTGTACAAAAATAACAGAGAATCTATAATTTCTACCGAACGACGAGACGCCTAGAGCATCATGTGCCGACTGAGGCTAAATTTGGCTGGATGCAATGTCATTGCTGCCCCACCCCCTGCAACGCGTCTCTGCTTAAAACTTAAAAACGTTTTGTTTTAACGAAATAATGAACTTATAATGAACGATACTATTGAACTGAAGTAATGTGTAAAACAGTTACGGGCTTGAGCCTAGCGTTATAAGATTAAAACTGGTAAAAAACTATAATCAAGAGTGAAAAAAGGCACAAAAGTACACTATTGTTTTGGAGGAAACAGAATTGAAATCTTCACCCAGTAGGGTAAGGTATATTATTTGTATGTCAGCTTTATTCTACAATGTATAATGTATGCATACCCCATTGATGGCCACCGTAGGTACGTATCGTATTCTGGGCTGGAAGGCAAGGGTTTGGTTGCCGTAGAGGTTGAGCAGAGAATCTCCTTGTTGTCCGTTAGCACAGCTCAAGATGGCGTCCCCATCCAGACCTGTGTCTTGGGCACACTGAAATATAGAGATAATCATAACATTATGCAAAGGATAACAATCACATTAGCACTAAAATAACTACTATAGTTCTCTTTGCAAAGTTACTCAGGAAAATGTGTTGGCATGTTACTAAACCTAACAATGCGTATGGTTAATTGATTCTTATAGGTTTCTTTTAGGTCTAGGGGTGGGTTGAGTGCTCCTTTGGATCACCCCAGCCTAATGGAAGGATGGGAAGAGACTATTACAATAAAACAAAAAATAGGTAATGATATTCATTATTTAAAGTCTAGTCCTAGTCCATTCAAGAACTAGAATTTAGGATCATTGGGATAAGTAAAGGAGAGTGAGATACAAGAAATCTTAGTTAAACACTTAAGGCTTGAAAGTTGCCAAAGTACCTCTAAGCTTTTTAGTACCGAGTCATAATCCAAAATGGCAATTTATGCTAGACAATGACTGCAGAATAAATCATTAACAACCTTCAGCAAGGAAAATGCAAAGCTTATTGTGGTAAAAAAAAATACACCAGCAAGTCCTATCCTATCCTTTTAAACTTTATTCTCTAATTTATACCCATTGATTGGTAGCCAGTTAGTAGGTTCTGGACTGCAAAATAGGACGGGGTGCTTCCTTTTGATGACTCATTGCTACACTGGGTTATTATTCTAGTTGAGCCGAAATGGAAGTCGTACCGTTTCTTGTTCTCTTTTCCTCTGGACCAACTATAAAGTGCTCTTCATATTCTCACGCCTCAATTACTAGAGAAGAAAGGATAGTGGATATTTCTTTATTTGGTCCCAAAACTATCTATTGTGGTTCAGAAACGACGCGGCGTTTCCCTACTACTGTAGTCTAACCTAAGCTGAAATCAAACAAACTTTACCTGCTTGGTAGCTCGTAGCTGGTCGGGTTTACGTAGCACGCAGTAGATGAAGTCCATGGCAGGGCTCAGCTTGTCTACGTCACAGTCTTTTGTACCTTTGTCGCCGCACGTCTGGTACACGGCGCACGCGTGCAACTTGTTGGCCTCACACTCCTCCGGGCCGTGCTGACAGTGGAACTCCCAGTGACCGTCCACGTACTTTTGCTGTCAACGATAATTTTTACCGTTATATTACAACCACTATATAGTTTTGATGTAACATTACAATTCCAACTATGACGTAATACTACCCAGGAAATGTTTTAGCATGGAGGTAACTTAATGAAGAGTCCTACTTGCGTTGTGTTTACAAGATGTGTTGCAATTCATAAACATTCGTTGAACTACTAAGCAATTAAATACTGACGGACATATTGTACTGTAACCACATAAAATCATACCCTCGCATTTCCAAAAGCCACAAGGTCGAATAAGACTCCATGTCCTTTGAAAGATGTCCAGGCACTGTACAGCTTGTTGACGATGAAATCTTTACAGTCTGGACAGTAACTCTCGTAGAACAACGTCACTGTAACCGTATCCTGCACATACAAGTCATAAAATAGCCGATAAAAGTATCTTTAGCAGGAATTATTAAATAAACCACCTAAATAATATTATAAGAATTATCTTAATAGCATCCTCGGAAAAGTGAAGAAGATGTCGACCACACACTAATATTTTGTATCTTTTAAGGAACTGATTTAAAAGAAAAGTTGATCTATTCTAGATGTATTACTTTGTACTTCGACTGGCAATTTGAGATTCCACCGATATAATGTAAATAGTGGCCCAACCGTGCTTCTCAAAGGAAAAAGAATGAATTATTTAGTTCTTTAAATATTTTGTGAGAACAAAATATAAAAAAAAATAGCTCAAAGCTTCTGAGGTAAAATAAAAACGGGCAATTTGGAAATCACAAACCTTTACTATTTTTGAAGGTAAAGTGCTATTACTTACCCCTGATTCATCTGCATCGATTCTTGAAATCCCAACACTCAGGATAAGTAACAATAATTGGATCTTCATAGTCTGACAATAAAATGTTTCTGGAAAGTGGTAAGAAATAAATGTTTGAAAGTAAAACTTTTACTTTAGAATAAAATAAAACAATTGGTGTTTAATACGATACGTTACAGTTGTAGTAGTTGTTATATTTGAGGCTAAGGATGTAACTTAGAGAACAGGGGCCTAGGATTTTAAGGATATTTTTAGTGAGGATAGCAGGCTTAGCTGAATGGGAAAGAGTCAAAACCGGTATAAAAACACAAATCCTTTCACTTCGTAGACAAAATATTAGAATTTCTCATTATCACTGACAGAATTTAAACTGAGGGATAAGTTTCCTTCAGGCATAATGGGGACCAGGAAGTTCTAATAACATTTTAGCCAATATTTACACATTATATTTCATAGTTTCATTTGACCTTATAGATTTACATGTAAATATGATGAATATGAAATATATATTTTATTATGAAATATGAGTAATATTATTCCAGGAACTTTTGGTCTTTGATTGAGTCTGATGATGGAAAGGATGCCGGATCGAAATTGATCACAATTGAACGCTACAATAGTGATTTGACTAATCGTGTTTTTTTTCTATTATGGGTACATAATAGGTTTAAGTAATATGATATTACTTACCCACTAGAATTAAATTAAAAATCTTAAATTAAATAACTTTTCACTTAGATTAAAATATAATTAAAATACCCATGCTACAGAAAATACAATAATGTAGACTACGTGAATTTTAATTTGTGGGATTGGATTTTTTATGTTAAATATTTCCATAAACAAGTCATATTTATTCCCCATTTAAATATCATTAGATTTAACAAGTGCGTCAGTTTTCTTCTACGGGATTGAGAAAAAGTGTTCACGATAAAATTTTAATAGTATTGAATAAAATAATTAAGTTTGCCAAATTTGATCAAAATCCATCCATCACCTGCCAAACTACAGCGTTTTTGACCTCTTGGAACGTCAAAATGAAAAAAAGATAAATCACTCTGTGTTATATAACCTAACATTTGACACTAGCTATCTGAAGCTTGATTACAATTCACGTCTGTTTCCATTTTAACCATTCGTCTACCAACATTAACAGCTCCCCAATACTAGTTTGTGAGTTCTAAATATACATATACGTACAATGGTAATGTTTTATCGTCACTTTTGTTCTGACGTAGTATGAAGTGGTACATTACTTATGTAGTACGTCTTAAACATTTTTACCGTTAGTAAAAAATGAATTTTTTTATAACAAAAAAATTACTAAGTTAACAAAGATTTTGGCTAAGTTTAGAGTAAATCTGCCATTACGTGGTAAAGTAAAATATTTCTCAAAGCCTCTTTTTATTTTTTTTTAATCTTGGTAAGAAATTTAAAGTTTTCTTGTTAAACGTGTCCAAAAAATATTTTGTATCAAACTAATTAAGTTTCACCTTACATAAACTTTTAGCTGCCTTATAAAATGTACCAAGCTCATGAAAACGAGGCACTAAATAAAAACTTTATACGTGATAAAAATCAAAGAACTTTTAATTTCAAATCTAATATTACATTAAATTAAACATAGTTTTTTTTTTTTATAAACAAGCTGGCCAATTTTTTGTTGTTAAGTTTTCCTTCTCATAAACACCTCCTTTACAAAACTGAAAGGGCATCTTATTGAATATATAGACTGTAAATATATATTTTAATATGAGCACACTCTATAAGAGGATTATTCAACTATATTCCATTTGAAAAAAAAAAGAAAAAAACTGGTTGCAGCTAGTCAAAATACTCATCATATTTAGTATACGTATAGTTAACAGTCTAACCCTAAACAAACAGTTCACTGAACTTACTTTGAATTATAAAGATGTTAACGGTATTTATCCTCTTCACCACTGCTTACTTCTTGTGAGGTTGGTACACGAGTCGGTTCACTACTACCAACCTCACATCACTGAAATTGTCTCCAATTTGTTCAATTACTCGCTTCACTTTATCGAGTCTGTGATAAGGTTGCTTTTAACTAACGTTATCATTCCGTTTCTGGTTGTGTTTCATCATTAACGCATGTGTGACTGTTCTGTGCTAGCAAGCTGAACATTGAACTTTTCCTACAGTCACCCGACAAAATGGGCTTCTTGCACAGATTCTAGTAAAGAAAGCATTACTTTGGCGCACACCAGTATTACAACCAAACAACACAAAACAGCGTACATTTTATTATGCACGTAATCCGTGTAGCTTAAAAGTAAGTTTGGCAACACTTAAAGATATTATGACGACGATCAGCTGGTGCAGCGTTTCCCATTTAGTTCAATTTTTGGATTTAACCTAACCTAAAAACGTGTTGTACAGTGATTTGAAAGACAAATTATTTATATGATGTATAGTAACTGTAGGAAAAACATCATGTGTAACACGAGTGAAAACTGACATTGCTGCACTCGAGAAACTTTCTACACTACGCCTACTTATCGTGCGTAAACATTTCTCTCGTGTACAGCAAAGTGCCACTCCGCCCACTAGTTACACAAAAAACTACTTCGTACACAATGGAGTTAAACTACGCACACTCATTTTAATTTATACTAAGTTAAAAGATGCAGAGCCCTGTTGTCACAATATAAATACTGTAACTAGTATAAGGTGAAATAACATTTCTGTTTGTTTAGATTTTAAAAGGCCAAAAACTGTGAAAGTTGACAAAAGTAACTTGTAAACAAGAAAAAGTCCAAAACGAAATATCTTGCAATATAGGGACATAAAACTAAATGTAAGCGCAACAATAATAAACAACTAAAAAAAAGCTGAAACAAATATTATCACATAAGCCCAACAATTGCTTTGTGAGTTAAAATTATTTGTTTGTAATATTCACTGATTTCTGAAACATAATTCTAAATTTATATTTCGTACTCTGTCATTAAGTTACAAAAATCATAGGAACAACATAGGTACGTATTTTTATTTGAAAACTTTCTGTGCAAAAATCCATGTCCGATCATACATCTGTTTTAGGCTGTGAGTAGTGCCACAAAAATTAATTCTGTGGTATTCCGCAGTAATTTTTCAAATTAGTAAACAATCATTTAGGCCTACATTTACAATATCAATTCTATATATTTATATTTCCTCGTAAACAGACAGTTCGTCATAGAAAGCCCAATAAGATTAGTTTTCAAGTTAATTATTGGACCCTTTCAAAGAGTCCTCGTGTGGATTCGTGAGGCAACACGTGTGGAAATAATCCACGCAGGTCCTGCTTTGACACCCCTAAATGACGTTTCAGCCCTCAAATTGGCCCACATTAGAGACTTTGCTGTCAAGTGAACCGACGAATTAGCAACTCCACTCTGTAGGAGCGTAACACGCAGAAACGGTGAAATTGGATAATTTTAGAACAAAATAGAGTTAGTTGAGAACATGAAAATTTTTTTTGCATAAAAGTAGTTGCATAATGAAAAAAAGACACCAAAAATTCGCAAAAATGGTCTGGCTTAGATAAAATTTCATTTATGACACTTGCTGCTTATTTAGAAATATTCAGGCATGTGTTGGGGTCCCCTTGAAATTGGGGTTTATAGGTTTTAAATCATCAATGTACTCTCAAAATCAACTACTAGTGTAGAAAAAGAATGGCGTTGCTGTAGTTGGTGTGAACACGACCACAGTGAAATCAGCTGATTTAGCGAGCGGGAATGATCCATTCCCACTCTAGAGCGACAATGTGCTATTATGCATCCTGTTTACAGGTATGAAATGTGATCATTTCCATGCAGTGGTAGGAAAAATAAATTATCACAGATTTAGCTACAGAATATAAAACGCATTTGTTTTTTCACAGACACAGTCGGCGCTGTTACCTTTAGATTTTCTACGCCTCAATTCTGTACAGTGCGATTGAGAAAATCATGAACGGTTGATACAGTGCTTGATTTTTCAGATTTGTTTAAAAGATATCATTTTTTTATATTTTTTGTAATTTTTTCAATGCACATCAATCTTGAAACCAGATTAGAAATTTAGTAGAGATTATTAACAACTGTTAACTTTACAACACTTTTCGTACAAAGGGCAATTGACATTCATGAAACGTATTATTAAATTTTTTATTTTAAATTTAAGATTATGGTAGGTTAAAATTAACACAGCCTATATTCTTTATTTATCACTTAAACAAAATATAAAATCTAGTCTAAGTTCAATGTTTAAAACAACTTGTGCTGGTAAATGCAATTCTACAATTACAGATGAAAGGATAAGATTTTAATTATAAATACTTCATTAGGAAAAAAACCGTTCACTTTTGGACTCAATAGCCATACATACTTCAATAGCTATACATACTTTCTGTTTTCTGTAAACTGTCATAGTAATCCACAATTAAACTGGCAAAAATAGTTAAAAACTTTATTCAACATATCGCCTAACGAACTCGTCCTGGTTATCATAATCGTTGTAAAATTGTGATATCCAAACACAACTAATACATAACAAAAATTATGACTGATTATATCCTGTCTCGGACTACCTTCTAAGTAGTTCTTTACATCGTTGCTTCCAATGCCCGGACAATACAATTCTATACATACTACAGCACATTACACACATAAATACGTCCTGTATATTGAACAAAGCTGATCATGATAAATTGTGTTTTGTAATTTGGTTCATGCCACAATCTTAAGAGTTAATTTTGCAAACTTTTTGCACTTCACAGAGTTGTTTTCGTGTTAAATGATAAGTAGTTTAGCCATTTGATTGTTAATACACTATATTACTTGCAGACTATATTTCAGAATAAAATCCTTCCACAGAATTTCCTTTTAAATTTTAAAGAATATCAAGTCCCTTGCACATTATGCATGTATCAGTTCCTGCAACTTTGTGGTAGTTTTATTGTCATATGCAGCCGTTCCCCCAGCACCCGCACCACGGAACCTTACCACTCTCTCTACCAGTAGTACTGAGCTTTCGTTTGCAGATACTCAACCTACTGCTGAGATCACTGTTGCTTCTCTCTCGCTCACTGCAAGTCGTAGGGTCGTACCCTGTCACATCCGTCTGATCAACGGAGGTAGTTCTGTTCAAAACGCTCGGTGAAGACTTTTGCTTAAAGTAGACCGAAGAAGGTCTTCTCCTTCCTTTCTGCGGTGAGTCCTGATCGGAGGAAGAGGTTTGAGAACACTCTCCGTTTGTTTTGCGGGAGTCAGTGCTGATTTTGGAGATCTTCCTTGTAGCTTTGTGTCTTTGCGCTTTTCTCGCTGTGTTTGGCGAGGGAGGTACACTGGTTTGACCCGTGGCATCTGAGTCTGACTTCACTTGAGTTGCTGTCGTCGTCGGAGGAGAACTCGCACTCCTAGTATGCGATATTTCCGGAGCAACACGTCCTAGTGACATAGTCCCCATCACGCTGTTGATCCTCCTCAAACCCGGAGACTCGTCTGTTTGCGTTGTCGTCGGGAAGAAGAAGGGCGACTCGTGAAAAATATTCGGAGTCGACGCACTCGCGTTGGTGAAACTCGATGTTTGACTCTCGGTCGTGTTGGGATACGCGGGTATCGAGGGGACCGATCCGCACATGAACGGATTGGTGCTGGGAAATGAAGTTCTCGGAGGAGTCGTGAAGAACGGAGTGGTAGAGTTAGAGGAGGCAGGTAACGGCGGGATGGGTGGAGAGCTCTGTGTGGAGATGCTAGGTAGCGGAGGTACTGGTGGTGTGTCCTCGGAGACCGGTCTGAGCTGCACGCTGATGTGGGACCTGAAGGACTTTCGTCTGGCGAGTGACAACCCTGAGAGTTCTTCACTCCTGAGTATCTTGAGACTCACTCTGCACCCCTCCAGCCAGATCCATCGAGGGATCGCCAGCCTCGCTCTCAGTCTGACCAGACGTTCCCCGGTGTCCACACCCTTGTACAGGCGCCGTTCCACTGGCCCTGACAACCACAATATCATCAATGAATAGAAAATTGAGATTTTCAGGTAGATAAATATGTCTTCCCCAGAATTGATGTTTACTTAACATCAATAACAAGATTGGCAAATAACTTAGTGTTGAAAAGTAAATTAAATAAAATCTATTTTAATCTTAATTGCTCGGGGCGGTAATAAAAAGTGAAGAATCAAACCATGGGTGGTAATATAGACTCCTTTGTTAGTCGTTAAAGTGAACGTTTTGAGTGTTTAAATTAGCCAAGAAGAGGAAAGGTATCTATTTGATTGTCGATTCTTGTCTTTTTATTTTATTTTTCATTCAAACGGCCAAGACCATTACATTATTGGAAATGCAATTAAAATCTTAGAGGTAACTTATACACTTTACAGTATTTATTCATTAGCAGGTGTATAAAGCAATAAATACAAATTTTAACAGTAATCTTATCGCTTTGAGATAAAATCACGTGCTAGGGTGGATCTAGTAAATACTTTTTGGGTTTTTGTACACTCAAGACACTTTTGTTCATACTGTTTGTACTAGATTCACACTGTATTTGAGTAACTATGATCCCTATTTTATTATTACTCGTCAAATCTTGGAAGTAATAACAATTCAAACAGATCAAAAAGTGAAAAATCTACATGATCTATTTTTTTATTGTATAAAAATAGGATTTTCACAAAAAATAAATTATATTGTTAAGTTTACGGTCATCACTTCATTTACAGCGTACATATAGACAAAGAAAGTCGGCACTGTCTATTTATTAACTTCTTCTATTTTAAACTCTCATAGCCAGCCAACAGAACAAAGTTTAGTGTTGATATTAAATTAACGGCTGCATAAATTTAAGCGACACGTAGATAATTATTTTCACTGAGGCTTTGATCCTATACAAAAAATGTATGACGAATGTGGAAAAAGATTTAATATCACCGTATGAAAGCTATTTTGGACTATACTTTGAGAAGATGGATAACATGTTATCTAATGTTAATAACATTATCTATTTCTATTTTCAACGCAAATTTCATCTACACTTAAATATTATGTTTTGTTGAACAGATAAACATTACTAGGTTAAAATCTTTTACTCTTTGTTCTACAACTGTACGAAAGTCACATTCTAACTATTGAGATGAATGTAAAGTATTATTTATGATTGGAAATAAATAAAGATATGACAACCGAAATATTTTAAAAATTAGTTGCAACGTCAAGATATTTATTCTCACCCAAGTACTTAATCTTTTCCACTCAATCTCTTTTCAAACCAAAATGTTAAATTGGGTTTTGAACTACCGAGTAACATCACATCAGGTGTTTTTGGATCTCAGGCCTCTAGGACAGACTCCTCGGCCATTGCACCAACCTTGCTCTTCATCTACAAAGCAAAATAATGTTCAGTGACGATAATAATGTAATTCGGTAAGAATTTAGTACCCCCGATTGGACCTGACGATGAGTGGCATGATTGGTCGAAATCCACCTCCATTTTAAAACGGTTGAAGCATTAATAGTATTTTTTTATAGTGCCAGTGTAATTATATAAAAAAAAAACTTTAGAAAACTTCATGTATTATATCCGCATTGTTTCTCTAAAAAGTAAAAGCGCATTGAGAAATTTGTCTCACCTACTAAGGAGCCGAAGTGGGCGAGTACCTCGGCAACATTGTCATCAGGCACGTCGTGAGGCACTCCGGAGAGAGCTACGACAGTCGCCCCTACAGAAGCGTCCTCAGCTGTCAGCGAGTGTCCTCGCAGGGTCAGCGGCAGCCTCAGCACCGAGTCAGCGTCTTGCTGAGACGAGAAGCTGAGGTAACAGTTACCTCCTACCAGTCGCACACCACGCAGAGAGTGCATCAACTGAGCTGACAGCTGGTCTGACATGGCGTCTATCACCTCCTGCACCTACACATAAGCAGGCTGGAGGATGGTCCATAGGGAAAACACAGTATATTTTTACCCAGGGGTTTATAAACATCCATTATGGGGATAGCCATCTATCATACTATCTATACATATGGTGATATATCTATACTCTCATACCATCTATCAACAACTATCATAGGATAGTTTATAGTGTGGTTCGGGCCATAAAGACTTTTCCAAAAAGATATTTCTTGGAAGGAACTAGTTTTGCAGTTATCTAGAACCAATTTAGAAAAATTCCATTCAAGAACTTCAAGCTGTCCGTTGGAATGTAAAAAAATAAATAAACTCCTACGCACTCCTACATGAGACCCTCTAGATTTAGAATCTAGGTAGAACTACACATCCAATCAACCGAATATACAAACAAATTTCATTCATTCATCTCAACATAGAAAATCATAAAACCACTACTTCGGAAGATTTAACACAGTTTTTGGGAGTTTTTCGACGCCCTCTGGAGCAATGTAGACAAATTGTAGCAGATTATGTAAAGTTGTATAAGAAAGACCTTCTTTGGGGTGATTCATAATATTGCAGTTTGATTTCGATCCCAAGATAATCATAATATAAAAAAATGTAATTGGAAACAAAAAAATAAATACTAGTATTTTAACATGTGCATAGTCTGACGACATAATAAACTTATGGAGATCAGCACAAACTCACAGAAAAAAGCACGAGTTGGGGTTTCTTTAAAAGGAAAATACAAGATTTAAGATTTTTTTTTGGAATGCATTATTCATCTAGACAAATGTGTTAATCCCTTATTCTGGTCCCAAGTTTATTTTAGTGGTCGTAAAAACTTGAGCTGCCAAACTTGAGCTTTGCGCAACTGAACAAGTGTGACACATAGTCGTTTCTTGCTACTTATCGTATATCTGGCAGAGTTAGGGTTTCTTACAACACTTGGTTTATGGTGCCAACCGTGGAAGCACCGAAACCTAAATTAACCAAAAACAAAAGTACTTTCTCACAAAACAAAAGTCGTACTTTCTCATTGAAGTAAATTCGCAGTTTTATTTGTGATATGTGGAAATAGGGAAGATGTTATTAATGTTAAAATATGTTAATGCCTTTACTTTAACCAAACCGTTAAGCGCTTACACATTGTTGTCACGGAGTTATGGACAAAATATTTAATATTTAACTTATTGCGAACGTCTTGTTCAGTTAATTTTAACATAGGAAATAATTCGATAGAGTCACTTGGTTGTGTTTAAAATACCAATATTGTTAAAGCAAATCAGTTAAAAGTAAAAAATCTATTTATGCATAGGTTACATTTAAAAATGTAAGGTTACAGTGTGTGAATTTGTTAATTATATTGTTACTAGTAAGTAGGGGGAGCGAGCTGGTCTAGTGGTAGAGCGTGGGACTTCGGTTCCAGAGGTTCTGGGTTCAAATCCTACCAAATCACCAATGGATTTTATCTATGTGATAATTCCGCAACACCTAGGTCTAGCCTGAAGCAATGTGAAAAACAATTCCGGGCTCGAGCCTAGCGTCCTAGGACAAAAAAAAAATACTAGTAATTAACAGTACAATGTTTGTCATTAGCACAAGTGTAATGTACGGTTTTTACCACAGTTTGTATTACTATTCCGATGGTATTCACGTGTACTCATCCAACGCCTCAACACAGTGTTGCGACTAATTTACACAAGTCTGTGTGAGGATAATCTGAATATGAATTATTTTGTTATTTTATTATTTCAGCTAAGCAGTTATAAGATTTCAACAAGATTGCGGCGTGTTGCGTCTTGAATCACAGAAAACATACTACTATAACCCAGAATGCCAACCGCATGGTAAAAACCATGAAGTGTTTTGAGAGAGCTTTGCCTGTCAATCCGTAGGCAGCGCCACCAGCGTTGCTATGCTGAGTGCATGGCAACGCTGATGGCGCTGCCTACGGATTGACAGGCAAAGCTCTCTCAAAACACTTCATGGTTTTTACCATGCGGTTGGCATTCTGGGTTATAGTAGTATGTTTCCTGTGCTTGACTGCTCAATCTGACATCAGCTGGTTGGAGAACTGCTGACCGCACTATCCAATCACAGCAGTCACTTGATTCGCCCAACGCATACACTGTTAGTATGAAGGAGCTACGTAAAATCACAAGATTCTATCATCACTTACCGACAAATTAGTGAGGTGAGGGTCGGTAACGGAGAACACCAGAGTAAAGGGCTGGACACTGTTGAGTCTCAAGAAGCTGGGGGAGGTCGCACTGTAGGTCTCGCACTGCCCCCCAGGGTACTCCTGGTTCGGGGGCTCCGCCAGGGGGAAGGTGAAGCCCCCCGACACGGCGGAGGGTCCCCCAGTGGTGTGTTGGGAGGTGGTGCATGTAAACGTGTCATTGGTAGGGTCGCCACTCTGAGCAAAGGACTGTCTCCTCTGGAGAATTGCTGTAGTCACCACCTCCGAGCCGCCTGGAGTCAACACCTGACAACAAGAGGAATTTATTATGTAGCTGGGGAGGAAAAGAACAGCTGAAATTAGGATACGTATACTGAAAATCATGAACAATACATAGTAAACTCAAGAACACACACACACACAGTAAAATATTAAACAAACAAGTTGATGTAAGAGTAGTTTTAACATACTTTAAGACTTATCTGATGGTGGGGAAAAAATTGTATATCCTGAAAATTTATGAACAAGACTTATGTTAAACATAAGCTATGTAAACATATATTAAACATAAGACTTAATATATAAGAGGGTTTAAACACATTCATAGAGTTGGTGAATACTCGAGCTCAGTTTAATGATTTTCTAAAAAAATAATGCGTTATTAGTGGGGTTAGTGTATTGGGTTTCAGAGTGAGAGGGACGCTTTTGATTCCTGTCATATGCAAACACATTTGTATGGGTTTAGACAGCTTTCCATTGAATTTATTACAACGTCACTGGTGACGTAGAACCTAACGAAAAACAATCGAATAATGTATTGAATAATCTTCTTCAAATAGGTCCTGTTGCATCATATTCCTTCATAAAAAGTATACATGTAAAGCAATATGATAAGTGCCAACATAACACGACTAACGAATCGCGAGCTACCCATGTCAAAGACCATGTACTCGTAACTTTGCCACAAAAATAAATCTCAGATTTTACAAGTAAAGGGTCTATTTAAAAATATTAATCTATAAATATTACAATTTGGCATATTTCTATGCACTATCAGTTTTACTGTACAAAATCATCAAGGACAAACAAAGTAATGAATGGTTTCAAACAATTATAACTATGAATGAGAGTGGCGTGTAATAGTACTCGAGGGAGTGTTGCCAACATTCTCGGCGGGAAAATAACGGTAACTGTAGGAGAAAAAGATCACCAGGAGAGAGAGGTTTGCCAACTTTACAACAATAGCCGCTAACTTGGCTTGGTTTGGCAAACTGAAATCGAAAACTCGCGTTGCTCACAGCTTCAAGTGGACTCCTACAAAGAGAATAATATAAAACCATATCCGGTAGTCTTGTGAAATATTATTTTTTATTTTTGGGGACTCAAAAGAACCAGCTAACATATCCATACATAGAACCTAATGTTAAGCCTGAAAATAAGTTTGGAAGGACCACTGTTAATACCTAAAGTATAACCCAAGAGGAATAATATATCTCATTTAAGGTTGAATGACAAAGTTGGGATAATAACTAACAATAAGTCATAAGTCATTTATTAAGCCAAATTATCCAAATACAATCAACGTTAGCCATGTCAAAATAAACTAAAATACAAAACTTCTTATGTAGTACATTTGTAAAACTGTTTACAAGCAGTTATGACTACCAGCCAAAAAATCCCGGACGCTATAGTAAATCCCACTTAAACTGTTCTTTTAAAAGTCTGGTGATCCTGCTTGGTCTTCAACCCCAGAGGGAGGCTATTGTAAAGCTTTGTAGCGTTGTACCACAGACAATATAATACTCTAATGCGGCATTGTCTGTGGTTGTACTGAAAATGATGTAGGAAGAATGAACTGGAGTGTTTAGGGATTGGGATGTTAATAATAACACGGATAATAACGTGGAAAATAACAATACAAACTATAAAAATAGAACCATATAAGAATGTTAATATTTCTTAAATATTTTCAGAGTTCGTTTGTACACAATTCACACAACCTATTTGAAAGTCGGGTTCGGCTCGACCCACCAACCCCTTACAATGCTTGGAAAAAGATTGAGTGCACAACGATTCATATACATGTTTATAACGGAAGTTAAATAAGTTTTTCCTAAATTATAAGCAGTATAATGCAGTTTATCAGGGTACGTTGAATTTTGAAATCAGCAAAGGGGTAAAAAACACGGTCATCTCTCTAGTACAGTGTTTATTATACACTGCTACAATTGCACTTGTATGGCTAGCTAAGAACGGACGGATATCAGTGCAATATGTCTTCGACGTTAAGAATGTAGCTACGGTAATGCGTTTATTGAATTGTAGCAATTCCATTAATGAAAAACAATTGTTTCGATACTTGGGAAAGTGCTGAACGAAATATGGTTAAGCAAAGCAAAACAACCATGAATGTTGTGATTCCTTGCCCACAAAACTATAAGTGCCAACATAACCAACAAACGAATCTCAAGCTAGCCAGGTTTCCAACATATCAACTTAATCTCTAGAATTTTATTGAATACGAATTATCAAAAATTTATTATACAGCCTGTTTTCACTACTGTGCATTGAGCGGCTGCTTTGTTATACTTCATACTTAAATTAATCATTGGTCTCAGACAATAACAGATCTGCTAAGAACAATAACTCCATCCCACTCTCATGCTTTACATGACGTGTTTATTAACAGGTTTAATATGTGGGAAAACTTGAAACATGTATCTTTATCATATCACCCACCGTATTACAAATTATGGTGGTGAGATATCTAGGAGACGTTTTACCAGAAAATTAGTAAAGAATAGGTGTAAACCACAGCAAGAGGCAGTGAGTATTGTTGAGTCCTTAGATAAATTTAAAATCGTTTTCATTAGCAGAGATTCTTTAACTTATAACTACAAGGAAAAAAATCAGAAGTCTCTGCTTTTCAAGAATAGGACCTCTACTGTTGAAAGTCGTAAAGTTAGTCTAGGTCAGGGCAGATCAGGTTAGGTTAGGTTGGGTTAGGTTATGTTAGGATGGATATGCATCAGCTTCATCTTGCATAATGCAAATGTTGATACAGGCGACCATCATCTTATAAATACCCATAAGAGATTTTACAGGATTTTATAGCTATTTTCTTAACAAACATGAATGCGCAAATCAGAACTAGAGTACCTTAGAAGAGACAAATCTCTGTGAGAACGAACGCACCATTAATTTCCTACAGTGGCTGCAGAAACACTGACGCAACCTAGAGGCCACTTTTCACAGCGAGGAAAGTCAACTTTCTGTATGCATTGTTGAGTCGGATGGTAAGATGACAACGCGGTGACGCGACAACAAAGCACATACGACTAGACCCTCACAACAACTAGTTGGGACTGGCGTGGACGGCCAGAATTAGCCTATTGTATCGTCTATCTAATTATATCACAAGTCCAAATCTTGAGAAGTGACCTGCCGCAGCTTTTACCCATTGCCCTTTGCAGTGCAAACGTGTGATACTTTGATACAGGAGTTATAAGGTCAATTCTTCCTGACTTGGCATACTGAACTAGACAACCCATTCACGCGGACCAACTGAATAAAATGAAGAAAATAGTTTAATTAAACACATACAGTTATTTGAGATATTTTCTGTAGTGATACTATGATGGTTAATGTGACGTAACAGATGATTTTGTTACAGTAAAATATCCTTTCAGTTTGGTTTGTTTAATTAGGTTGCCGTAGTCGACAAGAATAGCAATTTCCACTAGCACATTCTGTCAGTGGCAATTACATTCATTTTAATTTGGTAGTGTATTTTTAAATATATAATTATTTAATTCAATAAAAATAATTAAAAAACAAAATTTTTACAAGGAAATGGATGCATTTTTGCAAGAGAAAATTAATTTTTTAAATCTTAATGCTGGATTTTGCATGATTCAACGCAATCATTTAAAATAATAAACTTTACATTATATGACAAATTAAACATCATCCCTTGAAATGGGTAGGAAAATAGACGTATTTCAACCCGAATAACGAGGTAAGGGTATAGAATGGGGGTGAAATGCCTTGTAGTTTTGTCATTGACTGAAATCAGTTTATTTTATTGAAAACCCAATGATTGGAGGAAAGGTCTAGTTTCGACAAGTTAAGCCTTCCTCTGGTGACCTTTATACAGTATAACCATAACCCCACATCTACTAAGCTAAATTATGCTTATGTAAACTAAGATCTTAGGACGTTAATTGTTGCGGTTAGGACAAAAATCAGCCTGAGAGTAGGCGATCAGAATAAAAGTGACACGTGGAATTTTAATTTCATCCAGCTGTGTTTACGCTATTTGACACGATTCTCAGATTAACCACGAAAAGACCGATATTTTTATAGAGGTGTGAAATATTTGTCCGGCCGAGGCTGATACTTAATGCTTCAAAAATTACACGTTTCCTATAACTTGTAATATTTATTACACGTTTACATAGATATGAAATAGTACAATTAGTGTCAATTGACCATACAGTCCAAAATTAAGTAAAATGATTGCCATTACCAGACAAAGTTTTACAGTGTCTGAAATAATAATAGCTAATGATTTTTAACTGGCACACAAACCAACATATTCTTTTATAATATAAAAATATTTTATATTTAGTATTTCTACTTAGGCCTATAAAATAGTATGGTACTTAGAATGGTTAAATAGTTGACCTAAGTACGATAAATATGAACATCTTGTGTCAAAATTCACAGGAATGCATGGAACCACTAACCATTTATCTATTCGAGAAGAGATTAAATAAACATAATCAATAAAGGGAATCAAAAATAAAATTGTTGCACACAAATAACAATGACTGAAAATTTGCAAAGTTTGGTTAGTCATTGCTTTGGAAGAACCACTTCCCGACTACCTTTTCCACATAAAAGTCAGCATAATATTTAGTACTTCAAAAACCTTAGAATGCTCAGTAATTCTTTTACCTGAATTGTTTGTAGTTCAAAAGCTCAAAATACCACTTTCCCCCCTGAATATTTAATTGTGCATAAGGCCTTAAAGACTCATTTGGCCTCGTTTATTCTGTGGAGTATTCAACAGTTTAATGGTAGAATGTTTGTTTTCTGTAGGTTGAAGGTAAACAGTTTTAAATACCAACAGTACACCAACAGTATTTTTATATAAGCTATGTATTTGTAAAAAAACTGTACTACCCTTTTCCCTTTAAAGGTTTTCTTTAATTTCTAAAAGCATCACTAATTTTACATGCGACATTCCAAATAATACAAAGTGACTAATTTGTAACGTTGGATGTGCCAATGTTATAATTACTGTATTTGCAGGTATAATGGTAACAAAAGTAGAAGCGATAATGGCTTAAAGGTTCTGGAACTATTTCGGATAAATTGTTGAATGGAGTTTTTACCCGAAGAATAACAAGTCCTCAGTATACCAGACTATTAAAACTAATTCAAAAATTCCACTTTTCTTATTATTTATGATTTATTTTGTACGGATAGTCAAATTTCACAGAATTATAGACTTAAATCTCCAGGAAAGGTATTGCGAGCCCCTCATCCTATTGGTATTTAATGTTTGTTGCTGGATGTTGGTGAAGATCTGTTTGTTTGTTTGTTTGTGAGGAGAATATGAAGTTTACACTTCTGACAGTTGATGGCAAACACTGTCATTTACAATAAACAATCATTTACCACAAATGGAATACCGGACAGAAGAAAAATATATATTAGAAAACCTAAAATTTGAAAAAAAATATAAATACATTTAAAAGCGACGTAATGATATTAAATTTTATAACTTAGATTTTTACACTATGTTAAAAAATGCAATATAGTTTGCTTCTTTTCATTAGCTAATAGCTACGCATATAAAGTTTAATTGTCTTACATCCAGATCCATTAAAACATATTGATATCCAAATACTGAATACATTGTAATTGACTGAAATTATATATTTAGGTTAAAAATTCATAATCTGTCTATCAAAACACGTTTACACAGATAAAATGCCTATTTAATGTAATATATTGCAATACAATAATTGTATTGTAGTGTATTGTATTGTATTGTAATATATTGAATAATGAGGTAGTATACAACAATATTGCATTACCTTTTCATTTATTTAACTAAGCTTGTGTCACTTTTTGTTTCATATACTTATTTTGATGGGTTTGGGGAAGTAACTAAAGGTTAGGTAACAAACTAAAAGTTAACTAAAACAATAAATGTATAACACTATCCTCGTATATGAGTTTAAAACATGTATTGAATAGGTATCTCATATGACAAATTACATTTACACTTTGGTTTACTCCTGAAAAAGGTGCATATACATTTCATAATTTTCAGTCGGGACCACATAACTTTGCAGTTGAGGGAGGAGCCTATTTACCATACGGTTTTGAATGAACCAATGAGAACCGTGCGGTGTGTAGGTGCATAGGTTGTGATATCATAGAACCATTATTGGTTAATGAATTAACGATTTATAGAAACATTGTTGAAACCGATGTATAGCTCGTACGACGGATTGAATTATCAAATATTATTTGATTGTATTCAATCCATTTTCTTTCAGAAACGCAATTCGACCATAGACCGTCGTCAGGACCTTACCTCGCGTTAAACTCCTTAAAACACGTACGCAGCATATACATTTAATGTATTTGTATGTGTTGTAATAATAGAGATCGATGGTTATACCTAGGGGCTGACAATGGCATAAGGTCAAAACACGATCTCAGAAAGAAAATAGTATTGAAAACATAAATAAAAACACATATATCGTTAGTAATAAGTACAGTAAAATCTAAAATGTAGAATATTAATTGTTAGTAAACAAAACAAACAATTAAAACAAATTGGTACAGGCAATTTAAAAATTAGGTCAACATGACGTATAAAACAACATACCGTGTATGAATGTCGGCAAGTAGGACACACACACACTGGCGCATCAAGATATCCTGGACAAGTGAGCTCACTGAGTGAGGGGCGGCGTGGCGTGGCGAGTGCGACTGTCGGCTGCTGGATTTAGATTATTGTATCGTCGGAACTAAACTAAATATACCCCGAGTCGACACAGTGTTCACCCACACCTAGCATAACACCTGCAAGTCTACTTTATGTAGGTGGTGTGTGTACAGGGTGAGTCATGCGACCGGAGGTGGGTACGATGTTGTATAACCCCTCACATGTGCAGGAGCAAACCTCCCAGCCCACAGGGTTGGATTCTGTCTAAAACAATGCCACTGGCATTGAAAAACGAAGAAATATTTCGGACGATCTGGAGCAAGATTGTTCTTTGCTAGATAGAAAACCATACTCAGTTAGAGGGTCTGCGGAAGATGCAACCCCATCGATCAGACTCTATTAAACAGGTGAATATTCAATCTCATAGCATGCCTTTATGCATTCAGCTCGTAAACTAGCATGTACTTTCCCGATAGCCACTTCAAAAAACTCTGGGAAAAGGAAACTCTTCCGGTAGTTTTGCTTGCTACTCCTCAGATTTTGAGCTAACTGGGTAGTATAACTATCCAAGTATACTCACATTCGCTTATGCACAAGAAAAAAGTTGGATTAGTTGACGATGGAGGAAGAATTGGTAAATAGTAGGAGTTATGTGTTGTACCTGCTGACAAACCAGTTTTTTACTCACTGGCTATAGTAGTAGCTTGTTAACTCGCCGTGTTTAATCGAGCCTTTACCACTGGCGTAGAACTAAAATACTATGCTAAAAATAACAAGTGACACAACCACCAAATATTCTAGTTGTATATATCTAATAAAAAATCATAAAACACATCAAAAAGGTCAAAGTACGTATGATTCTGTCTACTGACTTATGCACATCAGCTAACAAAAAGCGTTCATAAAGAGTAAAGGAATGTGTTGTTTGGTTTGTTGTTAAGTCTCAAAGGAAATTAAGAAGAGGTAAGTACTTAATAACAGTGAGGCATCTAACATTTAGTTTAATTGATGCTTTGAATTACACTGTAATGGGAATTACTGTTCTTAGATCACTCTCCGACTAACAAGTAGAATTGTGAAGTTCAGTCAAGCCTAATCAAATATTTTCGTTTAGTTATGGTGATTGAGTTCCAAAGTAAGCCATGTGAAGTAGAATACTCCTCACAGTCTCTCTTAAATACAACGATCAGCTGGGCTATGAGGCAACAATATAGTTCATACTAATCAACCTTATAATGTGCTTTAATTCTTATAAAAGTTTATTTAACACTCAAAACGCTTCACGTTTGTAAACTGCTCTTAAATGAGCAAATATGAAAATGCAAATTAGTTTTATGACGGATTTGCAAAAGTAAATAGTGTTTACTCCTAGATAATGACATAATTTATTTGATGGGTAATGGACCAAGATATAAGGTAGTGACGCCAATATCTGAGAATAGCACATGCTCAATGCCCTTTGTGGGTCTGCCAAATCTCTTCAGTTTGTCGACATGTTTGATTCAACACGTTCAAGATTCAACACGTTTGACAGAGGCCTGACTTTCTTTGCATATTAATCTCATCTTGTGTTTGTTTGTTTACACGATTCCGTTTGACTGCGTGTTTAAGCCTTGTTTGTTGTTTCAAATTGTTGCTGTTCTTCTAAATATTGTTCCAGTGCTGGTGATTATTTGAATTGTAGTGTCTTCATTGGATGTGTATCATATAAAGACACAGAGAAGGTGTTATGAATATTTGCACAATTTCTATGCAAGATAAATAAGGTGATATTATAGTAATATAAATTGTACAGGCTGTTCAGAGTATAAGAATAATGAGGTTTTACTCATTATTGAAATTAGTGTTTGCACATAAATTGGACATTTTTGGGTTAATCCTTATCTATAAACCCAGATTTGAAAAAAAGGACGCTTAGGACTAAATTGCTGTTTACAGAGTGGGAATTTATAAAACTAAATACTTTTCTAAAATAGTACAAATTTAAAATTAACACACTCATTTTAAAATCGTTGTAAGAAGTAAATACAAATTATTGAACAAATTTGTTACAATAATTTAATAGGTAACTGAAAATTGCTTTCGTAAGAAACAACTGCTTCACAAAATCTTGTTTCTACTTATGTAAAGACTATTGAGGTTTTAACTTGCGTTATTTTCAACTAAATTAGGTCTACTCATTTATGCACCACTCAATTAACAAATCAGTTTGAAATACAAAATTCACGAATAAAACTTCTCAACAATTTAATATTTTAAGACTTTTATTCAAGTTTAAGTTGTAAATTCAGTATCCCAGTAGAAGGAAATAAAAGAATGTAAAAAATTACTTAAGGCTTGTTCCAAACTTTACACCATAAACTACTTTTCAAATACAAACGAATAGTGTCACAAACATTGATAATTTATGTTTTGTTTCCATCATATTTGCAACTGAAAGTTCACTAATGTGTGGAGGAAGTATATGATTCATGATCGCCCTACTTCTGTCTGCTAAGTTTAGTTTACTGCAACAGCTAACATACATGCCATTACTGATCACATATGTCGTCTGACCTTAGACACATGAAATTCGTCACTCACTAAAATTTAAGTTATATTTCGACATTTATAGTTCTGTTTATTCTAATTTAATTATGTATTGAATATGAAGAATACGTCTAATACTTAGGTTTGCTGCTATATAGAACACGAAATATACTTTTACACTAAGTTAACAATTGAACTTAAAAATTATCAAAGAAATACAGCCAAAAACCAATTCATAGCAATGAATAAACAATAGTACTTGAAGTATAACGATAAAACAAAATGGAAATCATAGATACAGAAACCTTATTTAAAAAATACAAAATCGCTTGAGCATAAGCTAATTTGGCTGGTAAAAACAGGTTTTGAAAACTCTTGTGAAATCAATCAAGTATTGGTTAATTTAGGTTTTTGATTAACATTTCATACACATTAGGTAATTTTATTTGGGTTACGTAAAGAACGATAACTCTTACAAATTTAAGAATTGAAAAAAAATATAAAGACAAAGAATTTATTTTACAGTAATTGTAGATTTAATGTTACTTGTACTAAAAACTTAGGTGAAAAAATATGTTTTCAAAACACTACCGAATGGGGCGAGGGTGGCAAGTAATATCAAGGATCCCAGTGAAATCATTATTTTTTATCGCAATCTCTTAAATATTCTGTTAGTACCACATAGTACGAAATAATAACATCGTAGCCATAAAAAATCAATATAAGAATAACTTTCTAATCCATATTTCGAATATATTATTTCTGAGATTGGTGAAGTAGAAGTTTTAAATGCTTTGAAAAAATTAAAATCAAAAAGGTCATTAGGTGCAGATAACATTCCACCTTATTTATTAAAGGGCTGTGCTGATGTTTTAGTCAAACCACTTCACTTCATTTTCAACCTCTCATTGAAGAATAACTGTTTTCCAGATATTTGGAAGATTGCAAAAGTAGTACCAATTCCAAAAAAAGGTGTTCAAAATGACATAAAAAACCACAGACCAATTGCAGTTGTATCTTCTCCAGCTAAGGTCTTTGAGTGCATATTATACAACAGATTGCTCGGTCATGTATCAAATTTTATCACTCCTCATCAACATGGTTTTTTTCCGGGCCGATCAATTAATTCGAATTTAATAAATTTTTCACAGTACGTTATAAATTCTATTGATCAGAACATAGTGTTATTGTCTAAGCTGCATTACTATGGCCTATCTGAGAACACATTAAGATTATTTTCTTCATATTTATACAAACGTAAACAGTATGTAACATACAATGGTGCATGCTCCAACACATTTCTGGTGGACTCAGGTGTCCCCCAAGGTTCAAATTTAGGGCCTTTATTATTCATAGTATTTATAAATGATATAACCAGGTGTGTAAAACATAGTAAAATTTTAATGTACGCTGACGATTTAAAAATTTTCAAAAATATTAACACAATCTTGGATTCTCAACAGCTACAAACTGATATTGATGAACTAATTGCTTGGAGTAAAGAAAATATATTATTTAATGTTAAAAAATGTGCTGTTATGAGTTATACAATGAAAACTACCCAAACTATTGTAAATTTTCCTTATTCAATGGATGGTGTTGTCTTATGGAGAAAGTCAGCATTTAAAGATCTTGGTGTTGTTTTCGATAGTAAATTTCTATTTGCAGAACACGTGATGAACACTTGTAAGGCAGCTTATTCAGTATTAGGTTTCATTCATAGATCTTGCAGCTTTTTAAGAAATTTAAACTCAGTAAAATTATTATTTTGTTCATTGGTGCGCTCACGATTAGAATATGCATCAGTTGTATGGTATCCTCATCAGCTTTACCTTGTAGACATGATTGAGGCGATTCAAAAAAGATTTTTAAGATTTATGTATTTTAAAACATTTGGTCACTATACATTCAACATCTCATACCACCAGCTCTTGACCATGTTTGATATGACTAGTCTCAGTGACAGAAGGAAGTTAGCCGCCTTATCTTATCTCCATAAACTGGTGAGCGGTGTTCTGGACGATAGTGACTTGCTGGGACAAATCAATTTTCACGTCCCACGACACAATTCACGCAGCACTCTTGTATTTACCCCTCGTTACTCTCGTACCAATCTTGGATTCAATTCTCCACTAAATATTATGTCTCGCACTTGTAATTCCTTTCAATTTGATATATTTCATTTATCACTAAAAAAGTTAAATGTCTGTTTGTTAAATGAATTCAAACTTTCTTATCAGCGTTAATTTATAATTTTTCTAAATAGTACATATTTATTTGTTATATATTTATATTATATTTATTATATTTGATTCATGACCATCAGTATTATTTTAGTTAGTATAAATTCTCTTGTTACTGTATATTTAAATTTTATATTGTCATTCTTATTTATATTCTTATTTATATTTCATATTCTTTATTTATATTTTGAGTGAAACTGTCACCATTGAAGACGGACATTTTTTCCCTAGTTGTGTTATTATTAATTGTAATATCATGTTAACATTCCTGTTATTTGATTA